AAGAGCTACTACATATGATGGAGGCTCTATCAATATATGCATAGTCTACCTAAATCATTTACCCTGAACTAGATGGGGTTAATACTTAAAAACCCACAACACGAGACTTGTACGTCGAGCGAAATAATCCAAACAAGGAAGCCCTTATGTATATATCATATGTCTCAAATTGTGAATCGTTAAATATTAACTCTAAAACTAAGAATAAAAGAATAAAGGAATGCAATACTAAAATGTCAACCAAACCAAGTCATATATGTCAACCCAATACCTCATACTACCCTTGGGTAGTTAATACGAATACTAGTACATAATCTTGTGTAATCCACAATACCATATAGCCCGTCACAATATAACTTAACGGTGAACCATTTACATGAACGATCTCCCGCTCAAGACTCAATCGTCATACATTTCACAATGTTATCTCTTACAAAGTTCTATGATATCATCGTCTCACTATGCGGAACAGACTACCTATTCAAGCATCCTAAGTAAATACTGCACACTAGCCTCATTGCATCATCGTGCAGAACGAACTACCTATTAAGGTATCCTATAGAAACAGCTCATTAGCCTCGTCGCATCACCATGTGAAACGGGCTGTCTCCTCATACATCCTCATCGCATCACCATGCGGAATGGACTACCTTCTCAGGCATCCTATAAATACGACTCACTAGCCTCATCACATCATCATGCAGAACGGACTACCTATTCAGGCATCGTGCAATTATGGATCCATGCCCTACTTTAACGATATACCGACGAACTACCTTAATCAGTATTGAGCTATGCCCATCAACGGTATCCATACACACACATATATTGTTCTAACTAATCATCTCCCTATCGTGGTAAAAGAACACGCAACTATCCCCTTCCCGGAAGTCCGTGTGTGCCAACCTCCATAAGTGTATGTCTATGTCGTACATGTAAATCATTGTATGTCTCGAACCACGTGTTCACGAACAACGTGCAAGAAAAATCATCACAAATAAGACATGATGTCGGTTGACTGCCCTAGGGCATTGGTCAACCGATGACCAATTCACATAAACATGCGTAAAAACAAGCTTCGGTTGAATAAAGAACTACACAAACTCAGGGTGGGATCAGTCGACCGATGCATAGGGTTCGGTCGACCGACCAGAGTCCAGGATGCTTGAGTTGTTCATGTTAGAGTTTGATATTTACATTGTATTTCGTGATAGTCGGATGCTTTAGTGGGTTAGTTGGTATGTCGCAATGAGACCGTGACTGACTACACTCAGGGTGGCTAGTTGGTATGTTGCAATGAGACCGCAACAGACTACACTCCATGTGCATCATTATTGAGTGGGTTAGTTGGCACTCCGTAACGAGACCGTGGGGGACTACACTCAGGGTGTGTGTGTTAGTTGGTATACTGCAAATAGACTGCAGTAGACTTCACCCATGTGCATTACTACATTTTTGATAGAGATTTACTCTAATTGCATTCATACTCCCATGTTAGCTACCTGAGAGTAGGGTACAATACTGAGATTGACATACATGGCATGTTATATGCGAGATTGATTTAGTCGGATATTATTTATGTGATTGCACTAACTACCCGAGGATAGTGTGAGGTGTCTGGAATGATATGATTGGTAATGGAGGAGGTTTGGTTATGTATTGTCTTTCCTTTATTTATTGATTTCACTCATAGGATTTGGAGTTAGTATTTAGCAATTCACAATTCAAGATATGAGGTATATAGATGAGGGTTTTTTGTTTGGATTATTTTGCTTGACGTACTCATTCTTGTGTTGTGGATTCTTAAATATCAATTTCCACTTAGTTCAGAATAAATGATTTTATATCTATATGTACTAACTTGTATTTTCTTATATACTCCTAACCCCTCCCCCTAGGGGCGGTGGAGATGATCTCGCTAGCGTTTTGACGCTCGTTGTTTCCCTATTTTTCAGGCAATGAGTCAGGCGCACGGAGAGTCGCAGGTTGATGGAGATGCCGATTAACCTTCATCTTATATTAGTAGTAGTTATTTATGCTCCATAGTAGTTATTGTTTGTTTTTCGGACATTTAGAGTTGAACCTCATTTTGTAAATGCTGGGTGTCTTAGTACTATTTCATTTGACACGATGTATCGAGATACTTCTCAGCTTTATCAGTTGTATTTCATTTTATTCAGTTGTAACATGATATTAATACTATTGGATTCTCTCTTTTTCTTATCATGTTTATTGCATTATTATTCTATCTGCTTTGTACCTACACTTATATATCATTGATTCCACTAGGGAGATATTGTTGTGATGAGCAAACGTTTTATTGCATAGTATGGGGTGCATGACAGGTTTGACATCCTTGGTTTCACATTGGATTGCAGACTTGTGTGAAATCAGGGGCATCACATGTATTATCATAATTACATATCATTTAAATTGGAAGTTGTGACAAGAAAGAGGTGAAGCGAGATGGAGGAGGAAATCTTACAAAAAGTGAAGCAAACGGAGGAAGGAGGCGGCGAAGGGAAAATTAAGAATGCAATGAGTTCATGATTTTCATACGTTCATGAGAGAGAGAAGGATAGAGAAAAAAAAAGATGAAATGGTAGAAGACAAGAGTGTTTTAGGGGTTAAGTTGGGGACTCCATCATCATTGTCTTATATGGAGAAAGCTTTAGAAAGATTGATATTATAGGACAGATTGTCCTATTTAAATTTGAAGAAAGGAAACTGTAAGGTATCTTTTTAATTAAGGGGACTATTTTTTGCTAGAATGCATTCAAAAGTAGAACAAAATTCCTAAAGGATGGTAATTTTCTATTAAAATCATATCACATCACACTCCTTATAAAAGTGTGAGGAGAGAAAAACTTTTCATGGATAAAAATACCATTGATCCATTTGCATATTACGTTGTTATCCTATGCTAATTGATATAAATAATTAATTAATTGAGAAATTATGGTAAACATATTTTTATATATATCATATGTATGTGTTTTATTGCATGTGAAAATATTTAATAGATAAAAGATTAGAAATTCATAATTAAATGTTGTTTTTTATCTTTTAATTTAATTATCTATAGTAATTAGTAAGAGATAAAAAGTTGTTATCCTACCCTAATATTTTTAAATTAAGGGATAAGAAATTAATAATTAGGAATTAGTTTTTATCTTTAAATTTAATTATCTATAGTAATTATTGAAGAGATAAAAAGTTGTTATCTTACCCTAATATTTTCTAAATTACAGCATCATGATAAAAAGATAAGGATTTGATAACTATAAAAATTACCCAAGAAAATTTTAAATTTACAAAAAAAAACATAATAAACAAATCAAAGATACAAAGTATACACTGAAAATCTATAAATTTTAAATTTGTTTAAAGTACCCTATGAACTTAGAAAATGGCAAATAAAAAAACTCCATTAAAATTATAAAATTTTTTAGGCATTTTTTGTAGTTTCTTGATTTTGTAATGTTTGTAAATCTTTAAATATTTAGTGTGTATATGTAAATTTCAAATTTTAAGAAAGTAAATTGGTCCAGCTTAATTTCTTTTGTACCTTGCAACTGAATGGCTTCATACATGCTTGAAATACATAATGTAATACAAATATTGGATGTTAGTGAGAGTTTTGATGATAGTTGGGGTTTAATGTCAAACACCCAAACATATAAGGAATTTAGTGTCTCTTATCCATATAAATCATAACATACTCCTTTTAAAAGTATGAATCTGAGAAGAACTTTCTATGGACAAAAATACCCTTGATCCTTTTACATATTATCTTGTTATTCTATTCCAATTAATGTAAATAATTAATTAAATGGGAAATTATGGTAAACATATTTAACTGTATATCATATGTATGTGTTTCATTGCATGTGAAAATATTTAAGTGGTAAAAGATAAGAAATTCATAATTGAAAGTTGGTTTTTATCTTTAAATTTAATTATTTATGGTAATTAGTAAGAGATAAAAGTTATTATCCTATCATAGTATTTTTAAATTAGGGGACAAGAAATTGATAATTAAGAGTTATTTTTATCTTTAAATTTAATTATCTATAGTAATTAGTAAAATTTAGAAAAATACACAATAAAAAAATCAAAGATACAAAGTATACACTGGAAATGTACAAAATTTAAATTTGTGAAAAGTACCCAACGAACTGAGAAAATAGCAAAAGAACTCCTTGATTTTGTAATTCCTTGATTTTGTGATGTTTATAAATCTTGAAATATTAAGCGCGTATTTGTAAGTTTCAATTTTTAGGAAAGTAAAGTGGTCCAGCTTAATTTCTTTTGTACCTTGAAACTGAATGGCTTCATATATATTCAAAATACATAATGTAATACACATTGGACATTAGTGAGAGTTTTGATGATATTTGGGGTTTAGTGGCGAACACCCAAGCCTATTAGGAGTTTAGTGAAATTTATCCATATAAATTCTAATTTTTATAGAAAGCTATTATAATAAAAAGATATGCTATTACATTAAAAAAAACAAAATATTTGACTATGTGAAATGCACGTGCATCCCAGCTAGTCTCCTATAAACGTCTAAGAACCTTATCTCATTTTTAAAATTCTGTATGCAATTGGTACCTGAAAATAAAGGCTTGCGCTTGGTTATCTTCAAGAGTAAAACTGTGACCGTCGAGAACTAGAAGAAACGGAGTTAGCACGACAACTCCGCTTATGTTGCTTGTTTAATGCTTGCGAAGAACGCGCTGATCATTCTTCTTTAAGTGTTCCTGCCACCAGAAATATTTGAGAGAACTTTTAGAAAGTTTTTTTTTTTTTCAAAATTTTTATTTTTTACTTCTATTCTACTTCTCAGTGCCTTTAATGTACATCTAAAAACAGTGAACATGCTTTCAGTGTGTAACGTGATTGGTTAGTGACTACAATTTCGGAAGTCTGCGAAGAAAGAAATGGTATTCTCCAAGAAAGCCTTCATTGAGAGACAAAAAACAAAAATTCTGCGATGATACCAAAGGACCTCATCTCCATCTAGCTGCAATAAGTCGAAGGAACCATTTATGCACGTTCTCGACGATGTTAAGAGTGTATCGCCTGCATACTCAAAAGAACTACAACAAAGTGATTCAATATTATTATGCGTACAATGATATTTGTAATTTGTGAACTGTTCCAGATGATCATTTAGTTTACTATTCATCTAACACCAAACCCATCAAAGGTTTCTGAATATTCATGGACAAATGTACACTTCATGCCAGAATCTTCAAGAGCCTCAGCAGTAAGTTTACTCAGCACGAAATGAATCCTGATTCCGAAGCAAATACTACATCAGAGCGTAACACATATTTAATGTTCTTGGTAACAGCACGAGCTTCATGCAACATGCACTTGACCTTCGTACAAAATGACCAAATTTTGGTTAAATTTCGTTGGAGGAACAATATTGGGGCTCAATGACAAACAGATGGATATTATTGTAGTTAAGATGATAAGATGAAGATTCATACCTCAGCGACGACCCCCAGTCTTTGATCATAAAAGACGGTCTCTCCTCCACCTAGAGACTGCAAGCTCGAGTCCTGACTGTCCTTCTTTTTCCCTTTGAAGCTTGAAATTCCACTGAGATATATTAATAGAGTATACTGTGTTCTACGCCCTTCACCTAGATCTACACTCTCATCAATATGCCGACCAAACCACTGGCCCACATTATATCTGACGAGAGTACAATAAGTGAATAAGAATAAACAATGTAAATTTAGAATTTCAAACCGACATTATGCCTTGAATGACTATGGGCTTGAGTTCTTACAATTATTCAATATCCTCGACCAAATTAATATTAAATGATTACTAAAGCTGTTAAAGATAATGAATAAAAGGAACAGGAAATTGGTCATATAAAAGTATGTATGAGCATGATAGGTTAATCACCTATAGAATCGTATATTTGGATTCAGACCGACCGGAACTTTATTCGGAAGGTTGATATCTTCGAATATTCTTTTCAGACCCACTTGCCATATTCTTTCAGCAAGAACAGGGTCACTCACAGATATGCGGTCATTGTCCCGATAAGCTTCACCATAAGCTGGTCCACGACTCCCTTGATGGGTGAAGCCTAGTGTCTCCGTAACTTCAACAAAGCTCTTTGCTTCTATGGTAGTGAAGAAATTTGGTATCTGAAATTTTATCATGCAAAGATCAGAATGATACTTTTCACAAAATTAATCTCATAGCGTTGGTGTTTGTTAAGTGGTGTGTGGGTGGGTGGGTGAGGGTGTCTGTTTGAGCATGCGTGTGTGAGCATGTGCTTCTGTGTGCACTTGTGCATGTGTTATGTATGCATTTCTGGTGCTTATGTATAGAGAAATTAGTAGGTATTAGCCGCAGGAGGAAAATTCCTTGTAGCATTGTAAAAGTTCAACCTTGCTTCCTATTTGCATCGTTTGAGTTCCACCTACTGTCTTCATGCATTAAACAAAAAATTATGTGCATATCATGAGGTTAGCCCTGGATCTAGGAGTTAGAAATGTTTCTTTATTAACAAATAATTAATCTGTATCTGTATCTGTTTGAGGCAAGCTAAACCCTCATGATACGTGCATAATGTTTTTGTGCAAGTGTACCATTAGACATGAAAATCAATTTAGTATTTCAGTGGGATCCAATCTAATGGAGACAACTAGAGGAGAAAGGTTGAATTTTGCTAGGATAGGAGGATTTTCTTCTACATTGTTGATGCCATCAACCACTCTCTAAATGTATTCAAAACTTATTGATACTATTTTGGTGTTGTCTTTCAATAATTACACTTTTATATATTATGTTCCTAACAAACATATATAATATTGTTAGAATATAGAAATATAACCCTTAATCCTCACCAAAATTTCGGAGGTTTGCTGTAATGGTTGGGTCATTTAAGATGGAATTTGCTCCAGATGTGCCTAAAAACGTCCAACAACTTTCGGAGATTAATATTATAAAGGGGTTTTTGCCTATTAACATAAAATTTTACCCCCACTTATTTTTAAGGCCACTGAGTTCCCAAAACACCGTTAAAACCCAAAACACGAAGTTCTGCTATTTTTAAACCCAAGTATCTACAACATATATGTATTCATACGGTATGTACACACAAAATATTAAAATACCCAGAATGCACTCTTCTTCATCCTTTATAATTATTTTTTGATGATTTCCTCCGTAATAACCAATACCACTTAATTATGTTAGTCATTGCGGTACTCTGCAAAACCCCCCTTTCAAGGTTATTGTGTGTTAGGGTATTCATACAGTATGTACACACAAAATATTAAAATACCCAGAATGCGCTCTTCTTCGTCCTTTATAATTAGTTTTTGATGATTTCTTCCGTAATAACCAATACCACTTAATTATGTTAGTCGTTGCGGTACTCTGCAAAACCCCCCTTTCAAGATTGTTGTGTGTTAGGGTCAACTTCGAGCAATGCTAATGGAGAGTCCGTAGGGTACAGAGATAGATCATGTGGGGGAGAATATTTGGCGAAGGGTCATGATTTTGTTTTAGCACACATGGTATTTGATTAAATGTATGATGAACATATGGTTTCTTAGACTAGTCTTAATTATGCACATTGGTTTTTGCACAGTGTGTTTGATAGAAATGTGTGCGAGGCATGTTATGTTGAGGATGATCAACTACCGAGAGTCTTTTCATTAGAATCAACTTTGTTGGATGGACTAGTGATTGTCATTGTTTATTCTGAGAGATTTGAAGCTACTGTTGATCGAAAAGAAAAAAATGTCACACCTATTAGAAAAAAGTAAATTGGCGCTAGTGGTGTATGCTCGAATTAGAAAAGTGAATGAAAGATGGTTGTGTATGGACGAGAGATTTAAAGTCCCTGTTCAATTTTCATGTTGTATATGATTCATGTTGCATCAAAAATTCTTGGACGTGATCTAATTGTGTATGGTTGTGCAATAGAGATCGTTGTGTATAATAAATATTTTAGTTACAACTATTAGAAAAGGACAAAACATATAACGTTCTAATTTTGAATGTCAAAGTATAACGTTTTATGGCAAAGTATAGCTCCTTTCTTCAAAGTATAACTCTTAATAGCAGTTTTATAGCTCTTTTTTAACAATGTATAGCTCTTTATGAGTTTTCTCACTTCAAGAAAGAAATCAAATATTTGAATGGTATTTGCAAGGAAATATTTGCAGAAAATAAAAATATATAATATTTGTTCAGATATAATTATAAGAAGAATATAGAAACTTAGAATATCATTATTTTGAATTTTCAAAGTCTACCTCTTTACAACATATTGTCGGTCTTTCCAAACAAAAGATAGCTATTTTATTCATCGTGTACTATATAACAATTTTATAGCTCTGTATGAATAAAGTATAGCTTTTTATATGTTCTGTCATTTCAATAATGAAATTAAACATTTGCACTGTGTTTGAAAAGAAATGTTTGAGGACAATAACTGAAAAGTAGCATGTGTTTAGATCCAAACATAAGAAAAATATAGAAGTTTATAATCTCCTAATTTTGGCTAATCAAAGTATAGCTCTTTACCACATATTATAGCCCTTTATGAACAAAGTATAACTCTTTTATTCAAATTATAGCTCCTTATAGCAGTTCTATATCTATTTCTAAACAAAATATAGCTCTTTATGAGCTCTGTTAATTCAAAAAACAAAGTTCAATATATGGGCTCTATTTGAGAGGAAATATTTGAGGATAAATAAACAAAAACATAATACATGGTTAGAGTAACTATAAAAAAAATAGAAGCTTAAAAGCCCTAATTTTCTCACAAAAATATAGCTTTTTTGTTCAAAGCGTAGCTCCTTGTAGAAAATTTATAGCTATTTCCGAACAAAGTATAATTTTTTATGAGATCTGCTACTTCATAAAAGAAGTCAAATGTTTGGACTATATTTGCACAATAATGTTTGAAGATGGAAGGAACGGTAGAAGGGGTCGATTTTAAGTGGCATGGTACTTAGCTGGAAATGAGTTTTGATGCTTGATTAAAATTGGAAAGGATGTTCTGTTTGTTCAGTCATTTTGTCGAACATATTGTGGATGCTAGCTGAAAAATATCATAGTCTTGGAGGGAGGCAGGGAGGGAGGGAGTGGGTTGAATAGTAGGAAAAACGATGTCTGAGAGTGAGGGGGAGCCCCAATGTGATGATAGGTTGAAGGGGAAATGGAAACATCTAGCAGGTGTTGATTTTGGGTGTTGGGTTTAGAAAGAGAAAGGAGATGAGGGTATATTTGAGATTTTAATCTTTTTTAAAGTATACATCATACAAATACACAAAATACACATATTTGGGTTTAAAAATAAGTCATCAAAGTATTTTAGGTTTAAGGGTGTTTCTTTGGAAGTAGTTGTGTTTAAAAATAAAGAGGTGTAATACTTGGGTTTAAGGACAAAAACCCCTATTATAAAATTAGCACCTGTTAGAAAAGCTAACATGTGTTGAGGACGTCCAATATAATATATGTTCAATAATGACATGATTTCAGTTATAAGTTTCTCTACAACATAGCTGGGAGAGGTAGGGGTGGGTGGTGGTGGCTAGGGTGGGTGGCAGGGGGGCGGAAGTTGACCATCCTGATAAGAGCTTATCATTCTTGAATTTCAATAAATCCGACATCACTCCTTATGGTCATTCAGAAACTTACAGTCCACCTCCATAACTCACAATACTTAATAGTCTTAGTTATAACAAAATGTGTCCAAGTACGCCTAAAGAAAATGTCAATACTTTTAGCCATTTTGAGTACCTTTTATTTTAAGAGTGTAGTTGGTCAATTTTGTTCATGGTAGAATCTTTTTCACACCTCTTCATTTCTTACTGAAAATCTATCCTTACTAAAAATCTAACTTATTTCGGTAGCTCTACTATGCATCTCACCTTAGTGTTTAACTCCCTACTAAAAGTTAGCTCACTTGAGCTTTTGGTTCCTTACTAGAAGTTTAGCTTCACCAGATGTACCTGGGAAATTATTGATCAACCTCAAGACAGGTACTGGGTTTGAAAGCCTCATCAAATTGTGAATTGATGATTTAGCTTCACTAGATCCACCAAGGCTTTTATTTTCATGTACACTTAGGTCATGATTCATAATTGCATCTAGTTAATCAGGAACAGCAGAACCTCTGCAGAATGAGAAGAGTTCCTTGCACAGCCTGTAGTTTACAACTCTTTAATAGAGATCAGCCAAAGGGAATCTATATTTGATGTCATGCTTGATGCCAATACGGCATATGTGAAATTTCCTTGAGCTCTTTATTTGTTCGATTGCAATCTTAACAACTAATGATCATGACCAGGTTTCAGATATCTTTCAGAGAAAAGAAGTCCACGAGAAAAAGAGTCCATGTTATACCTAATAAACCCAATTCAATGTATGAGCTCCTTAGCAAAGCGAACAGAAAGTCAAATTAGAAAATCAAATTGACAAGAAATGGGAAGTCAAATGTACAACAATACATAGGCATTGTAAGATGTAAACTGTAACTTACATAGGATAAAAGCAGGATATTGATCCAATTTGTTATAGAGTATGGTCATTAACTCGGCAAAAAAAACCAAGCTGCAGAATTTTACGATGACTTAGGACACTAATAAGTAAACCACCAAATTGCTAGTGTACACTCATCATGGAAGCAAATAGTATCAATGAATTTAAAAAATTCATAAATACTATCTATTATAAATGTGAATCAGAAGTTTCTCCAAACGAGCCAAGGAGCAGTAGTATGAACATTTCCTTCTGAGATAATTTAATAGCATGATCATATGGCTCACATCCATTTTGAATAATTTAAGAATATATTATGGAGATTTATAATGTTATAGTTATATTAGGAATAACATATTAGGAGTATAAATTAGAGATTTGGTGATTGAGAGATATTAGGAATGTAACTCAGAGTATAATTGTGATTACGTAATAGTGTTTAATCCCACATTGACTACACAATAAATTTCTTGTTATTGTATCCCAATATAAAGGGAGTAGTTATAGATTTTGAAATATGAATGAGATTGTTTAACATGGTATCACAGCCATGCAAATCCTAGCCTTTACAAAACCCAAGATCCTCACAAACCTTAGCCCCCAAATTTCTCACCATCAAACTACTCTATCTGCCTTACCA